ATGACATGAAGCTGGAAACATGATTTTGCAGTCGAAAACTAAGCTATTGCAGCAGGGCTGTGCAGACTGTCTATAGTAGCACAAAACCTCATATTCCTGAGTGCCAACGAGCTGCAAATGACAACTCTGATTATAAACCGCTGTAAGAAAATGAAGAAGAGGAGGAAAACCATGTGGTTTTGTGCCCACTATGAGCAGTTTCACATGTAGCAGCAGAAGTGTTTTCTGTATAGGTGTAATGTATAATTTAGAGTGTGTACATTTGGGAAAGATTAACTAAATCTTGAAGAGGTGCAGAGGGTTAATGCTATCAGAAGAAGAAGGGGTATTGATTTTCTTACAAGCTAAGCTCTTTTGGACTTCTGTCTAACCTTTCAAAACACAGTTTAAGAAGGGATAGGGTTGCTGTCTATAAATACATCAGGGAATAAATGCTACCAAATGGGCAGTCTTTGCATAGGAACAAATAAATATAATTTAATGGAAAAAATCAAATACAATTCATACGTTTTATGATAAGCCCAAGGAACTACAGCGCAGGACAAGTACCATGAATTCCACGTATAGCTTCATCAAGTCCTCAGGGAGGCCACATAGCTGCTTTTTAACAAGGAGGGATCAGACTCAGTGCCCAGGCAAGTGCTGTCAGTCCTAATTTACACATAGCCATAGGTAAAATCTCGTTCTGTTTGCTGTAATTAAAAAGATTGAGTTATTCACTGCTTGAGAGAGTGAGGCACAGCTCAGTGCTCTTGGAAGCGTTTGCCAGCTCTCAGTCTGCACATTTTTATCCTGCTGGGACACTATAGCTGGTGTTTGGCAGCAGCTGCTGGAGAGGTTGCTTGCCTACCTGGAACAGACCAACACAGGAACCCAGAGGCTCATACATAGATATGTAGACCCTGCCTGAAGTCAGACTTTCAAGTTTCCAGAAGTTTTAGTATTTTGATATGTGGAAGCAAATCACTTTAAATTAAAATAAAATGGAGTTTCTCATTACTGAAGATTAGTTTGGGGTTTGTTTGTTTGTTTGTTTGCTTGATTATACATTATAATTGTATCTAGAAACACAAAAATGTGTATTTTAAAACCATCCCTACAGGAGCTGCTAGAATTCATAGCTCCAAAGCAGCTGCAATATTATGTGGTGGCCCCAGTCCACGATCTCTTGGTCCAACTGGCTTCTCAGGCTATCTGTTTTCTAGAATTTGGTTACAGAGGAAAATAGACCAGGATCTGACCAAACTGGGTCTAGAGCCCCATAACACAGGTTCTAGGGTTACTTTGAACACTTTTGCCTCAAAATATTCCTTGCCATCCACTGCAAGCTGGTTATTCACTGGAGATAAGGGATGCACTGTGGTGGTGGAGGGCTTGTGCGACCAATGGCACGAGCACAGCGAATGTACAGCTATAGAGATGAAAACAAAAACAACTGGTAGGAGGCATTTTATGCAGCTTCAGTAATTTCAAAGTCTGATATCACCATGAAGTAAAGATTATTATTTAGGTGATTTTCGGTAATGTTTGTTACTTAATGAAATCTCGGTAACATAATACAAACTGCGAGTGCAGTGTTGGGGATTCACCTCTGTGAATGGCGTAGGTCAGAATGGTTTTGTTTGGAAGTCGTCCAGGGAACTTCTAAGTCATGAATAGGCACAGCAGCAGCACTGACAAACTAGTGCCCGCTGCTGTTATATTAAAAGTAATAGACAATAAGCACTCAAAAAAGCTCGGGAATTCTTCGGTATATCCTCTGGGAAAGGATTACTGGTACAAATTTGACTCAGGCCCAGAGTCCCAAGGTTATTCTAGAGATCCAAGCCTTTCCATAGCATGAGTTAATTTTCCTAGGAATGACGTCTTTTTCCTGAGAATAAACCCTTTTACAAGCATTTAGAGTTTACCCCTCCCTGCAGCACTGGAGTTAAAACAAGACCAGCCAGTGTTTCCAGAAGTACATCCACTCTAGCTCAGTCCAGTGCATCTTGTGCTGCTGAGGATTGGAGAAGGATCCTTGTACATCCATCAGTGCTTTGTGCCTCAGGTTGAATCTATGCTGAGGTAAGAAGAGGTTTGATGCTGTCATTTCAAGATATCTATAGGGAAGAAGGGCACAGATCCGGACTGCTTTCAGGGGCCTGAATTCAGATGACCCCATCTCTTCTGACATATGCCTACCAGGGAAGCCCAGGGGACACCTTTTAGTGAGGATATTACATGGTGTGAACCTTGTACAAGAGGACAAACACTGTGCTCTTCCACTTGGCCTGCAAGGCTTGTGGGCTGGGGCTGTGATTCACATCTACCGGCGTTCCCAGAAGGCACATCCAAAGTGCCCTGACGATGGAGTCACCTTTCAGTCCAACAGTGTCCCCAGCTGCCAAGTATCATCTCTATAAAAAAGGCTGACAAAGTATAAGAGATCATAGGTGGAAAGAAGACACGTGCGATTACAGCTGCTGTGATACGATACGCTCAGCTTCAAAGAGCAATGAAGAGGGAGGACAATGAAACCTAAGAAAGAAAACCCAAGAAAGAAAGGCAGCAAAGGTGATGGATCCACTATTACTCTATCTGCACAGAGCCAAAGCAGGTAACCTCTCTGGGGAGGCAAACAGAAGGGATATACTGACGTGTGAGGTTGGAACCACGTGTGGCTTGTCCTGAAAAAGGGGATAGGTTGAGCCTGTTCTTCCTCTGTCATATGCAGTTGCCTTCTTCCTTTTCATTCAGGATAAAGACCATTAATAAGATAAACCACAGGAACATGAGAAGGAAACAGCTTAGCAGTTGTGGTTTATGGTCTGTTTTCCCCCCACAGACCTGTTCCCTTCAGCCTTGATAAATGAATGTCTTCTTGTCTGATGGTTCAGTTTATCTGGTATTGGAAGGTTTTGATTGCATATAAGGTAAGACTTCTTCATGGAAAGGGTTGTCAAGCATGGGAACAGGCTTGACAGGGAAGTGATGGAGTCACCACCCCTGGGGGTATTTAGAAGACGTGTAGATACAGCATTTAGTGACATGTTTTAGTGATGGACTGGACAATGTTGAGTTAACGGTTGGACTTGATGACATTGAAGGTCTTTTCCAACCTAAATGATTGTATGATCCACTAGGGTGAATCATAGAGTGTATGGGAGTGCAGGTGAGATCCTACCTGTGGGTCATGACCAGAGGCAGGGCAGGATCTTCTGTGCCCCATGACAGGTTGTGAGCCCTTTTGCAGTGATGGCACGTTTGTGGATGTATTCGCATGGCTAGTCTGACCATATTCAGAAAGGGGGTGCTGGGATGACCAGTGATTCGGGCTGGGCATCAGCTGTGCAAACTGGTTTACCAGAGGCATGTGGCCCAGAGGGCACACAGCACAGAGCTGAGACTCTGGCAGTGCCTTGGAGCACAAAGACCATGAACTTGTCCGATACCTTCTTCCATGTGCACAGATTGCACGTTCAGGAAAACGAGTTCCCCCATTCCTTTTTGCACCACATGAAAAACTGTTTTGCTGGTTGGACTCAAACTTCCTGCTTGATGATTTTGGTTGATGGTGCCATAAATCCGCTATCCCAAGAGAGCAAGTGCTCATTCCCTATTCCTCCATCCCATACAAGCTGGGAGGCTATGGGCAGAGACTTCACTTCTCCAGGCTGGGCAGCCATACCTGCTCTGCTCCTTCCTTATGTGGAAACCATCCCTGTCCTTGAACAGACCTGGAGCCCTGTGCGTGATGTTTCTGATTTGGACCATTTTGTGATGGGAGAAACAAACCTGTGTGTAATAACTGAGAAGAGGTTTCACCCAAGATTTATACAACAGCAAGTTGAGGTGGATTTTTTGTTTGTTTTGGTTTAGGTTTTTGTTTCTTTTTTGATAATCCCTGGTGCTTACTTCACTTTCTTCTTGGCAAGCAGCTCTCTGTTATCTTCTGGGAGTTGCATTAGCTGATTTAAGTCCATCCTCGTGCCGTGCATCCTTGATTACACCACCTATGCACCAGTTTGCGTCTATCAACACGAACTGCAGTCTGTGCCTGGTCACTCAGCACCATCATTGCCCCCTTTGAACTCTTCAAGGGAGCTCCAGCTCTTTACTAACCCAAGTTAGTGTTGCAGCTTATTCTGTGCAATCACTGCTCATGTGATTTTTCAGACAGTTTATGAAGATGCTGGAAAGCAGAAGCCCCAGTGCAGTGTCCAAGGAAGGCATTTCTGGTACCTTCCTCCCCCTTGGAAACTGACCTGCCATCCCACCTTACACTGCCCATCTGCTCAACCATGGAGACCAGCATCTTATAGCATGAGCACGACTAAGGACACTCAGTGCAGGACTTTGTTCAAAGCTTTTTGGGATCCGGGTGCACTGTGTACATACACTGAGCTGCACCCACATGCTTCACACCACCTCTGAGGAGAAGCAGGAAGGCAAGGTTTCTGCCTAGATTTGTGTTGTCTTCTATTCTCAAAAGGAAGAAATGCTGTTCTGAACTGTACATCACTAAGAAGAGGGGACATGCACGGCTGAGAGGCCCATGGCCCACCACTGAAGGGACGCTCATCACTGATGGATTCTTCACCCTGAGGAGAGGGAATACCTACAGCTGAGGGGAGAAGACATCCATGGCCAAGGGATCCCTCACTCATCACTGTGTTTGAGAACCTCACGACTGAGGGATCATTCAGCCATCACCGAGTTTGGGGACCCCCGTGGATGGGGGGGTCTCCCACTCATCACTGAGGACCCCCATGGCTGGAGGGTCTTTCACCCATCACTGTGAACTGAGGACACTGAGGGGTCCATCACCCATCACTGAGGATCTGGGCGGTGCCTGTAGCCCCCGGGACCACCGCGGAGTGCTCAGACTCGTCCCGGCGGGGCCGGGGTGGGCAGCCCGGTGCCCGCTGCGGTGCCGGTCGCTCACCGAGCACTCACCTGGCCGTGCTGCGCCGGGCGGGCGGCGCAGACTTTGACTCCAGCCTCTATAAAAGGTAACGGCGGTTGAGTCAGAGCCGCCGCCTCCTCCCCGCCCGCTCTCACGTACGCGCGGCCGGGCGGACACGGAGCCGCCGTCCCGCACCCGCGCACTTGCTGGAGATGAGCCGCTCCGTGCTGCGGGTCTGCCTCTTGCTCCTGGCCGTCCTGGGCCGCTCTGCCGCCGGCAGCGAGGACGGCCAGGACCAGGGCGCCGAGGAACGCACGCACCCTCCGGGGAAAGGTGAGCAGGGGGTCCCCATCCTGCGCGGGGCACCCCGGTGCTGGGTTTGGGGTCCTCTGTGCACGGGGCATCCTGATGCACGGGGCTGCCCGGAGCACGGTTTGGGGTGCTTGGGAGGTCTGATGCATGGAGCACCCCAATATTGAGTTTGGGGTCCCTGATGTATAAGGGGTGTAGTGATGCGCGGGGTTCCCCCTTTGCTGGGTTCGGGATGGTTGGTGCATAGAGCACCCCAACGCGCGCGTGCTGGACTGGGGATGCCGAATGCTTTCGTGGGGTCCCCGATGCTTGGGAGCTCTCCCCGTGGTTAATTTCGGGGGCTGCTGTACCTCGCTCTGCACGTTTGTTAGGGGCCGAGGTGTGCCCCAGTGCGGGGTGTCCCTGTGGGGCTGTACCCCCAGCATCGCCCCGTTGCAGGAGCTTCACCCATCACCACCCCCCCCCCAGCACGTCCCTGCCTTTGTCCCTGCTCCCGCCAACTCCTGTGCAGCCCGACCCCTGCCCAGGCGCTGGGGCTCCCGCTTGCTTCCAGCCCTTTCCCCCCACTAAGTCCTCTCTGCATCAGATGAGGGGGCTCACGGATGCCGGGGTAGGGGCAGCCGGGGCCTTGCAGCCTGTGCCTTGCACGGACCGACCGGAGGGTCCGGCCCCGGACCCAAGTGCGGCGGGACGGCGGCTGGTCCCCTTTGTCCTGCAGCATGGCCTCTTGCCAGCGGGGTCCGCCGTGCCTGGCCCTGCATCCGCGTTATCCCCACACAGCGCAGCGAGGACGGAGTCCTGCCCCGCTGCGGGGCTGTCGGGGATCTGCCCCATGACTGCTGATGGGGCACGGGGGACGTGCATGAACTCAGCGCTGGGTGCTATGGTGTGCTCCCCCCCACAGCCGAGCGCTGTCTTGCTGGAAGCGTGGGGGCTTTCAGACCTCGGGGTCACTGTTTCGGGGGAAAAGTCCTGGGGTTTTGGTCTTGGTCCCTTTTCTGACTGGGCACCGTGGCGCTGCCAGCGCTCAGCAGGGCTTTTGGGGCAGTGCCATGAATTTGCTCGCAGGGGGCTGAGACTTTCCTGATCCTGGCTCCACTCTTCATCCCAACCCTGCCGGAGGGGTTGTTTCCCCAGTTCAGCCTCGCAGTGTGTCCTTGGTTTTGCCTCTGGAAAGAAGTTGCCCAACCCGTGCCAGGACAGCTGCCCTGTGGTGTAAACCAGCAATCATTCGGTGCCAGGAGTTGCTTTTGTTATTGCAATGAATCACATTTCTCACCAGAGCTGCTTCTGCGGGGCTGAGCGCTGGACAGAGATGGGGATGCAGATGGTCCTTGCCACAGACATGAAGTAACGCAGGCCACAGGGTGGGAGGGCATCAGGCATTCAGCATGAATTCAGCGTACTGTTGTGGTGCTGTGGCAGTGGGGTTTGAGATGGGTGAGTGCAGAGCTTGGGATAGCAAAGGGAAGCGAAGGGTAAGAAGTGGCAGTGGTGTAGGTAAGGAACAGAGCCTGGCCCGTGCTGTACTGCTCTAGACCTGTCTGGTCTCAGGAGCAGGTCTTGGCTGGGACCTAGCAAGGCTGCTGCCAGCGCTGGGAGCTGCGTGTCTCAGCACCACTGCAGGGCGATGTCTGGGCTCCATCCTCCTTGAGGCTCATGCACAAGGTGGGGCTGGTGGCCCCCACCCCTGGACACCCTGCACAAGCTGGGGCTTGTCACTAAGGCTTTGCCATGGGGCTGCTCTCTGAAGAGCCTCTGGCTTGCTCAGTCCCTTGTTACAGGTGTCTTTGGGAAACAGCAACTTTCTTTGCTATTGCAGCCTGATTCCTCTCTCCCTCCCTCCTTTCAGACCTGTCCTGCTCTGTGTCCTCTTCTTGCTCATTCCCTGATGCTCTTCTTCAGCTAAGCCCATTTCTCTTGCTTAATATCCCTTATTCATCTTATACCCCAGCCCCAAGCACTGATTTGTCCCCTGGGATTTCCCCATTTCCATCCCTTCAGCTGGGATGGCCCTTCCTCTGCAGCAATGTGCGATCGTTTCCTTTTTCTGTAGCATTTGCTGGGACAATTGGGTTCACAGTGAGCAGGGATGTGCCTTTGAGTAAAGCTTGCCCTGTGCCTTCCTCCACCCAAACCCTTACCCCTGTGACGTGGAGCTGGCCTAAACTGGGGCCCTGTAGCCCCAGAGCACAAAGAACAATCCCTGCGGTGACCTGTGCTGCCAGTGGTAGATTAAAGGCTGATCCCCAAGGCTTGAGTTTATAAACACAAAGGGGCTTTAATGCAGCCGGGCTCGGGAGGGATCTGTGCTTTGGAAGAAAGATGTTGGGGTTGTACAGACCCCGTGCCTGTGCCATGGCCTTGGGAGCTGGCGGTGGGCAACGTGAGCACAGCATTGCAGTGAGGTACCTTGATTAGGTTATTGCTTTCAAGGGACATGGTGCTGGATGTGTTTTGTACGCTGGCACCCGGCTGCTGTGGCTGGTCCCTGCTTTGGGACCTGCACTTTGTGCATCTCTGCGTGTCCTGGCACGTCCTGGCTCACCAAGCACCAGGAATATCACCTTGATTTCCTTTTTGTCTGGGCCATGAGCTCCATGGGGACTGATTTGCAGACAGGTGCTTAGTGCTCGGTGGCACATCAAGGTGCTTCTGACCTGGCATCCCCTGTAAACCAGCCTCATCCCATAGGGCATTGACCCAGGGCAGGGTCCCAGAGGGCAGAGGAAGCTCTGGCAGGATCACTGTGGCTAAGCACAGGGCGCAGTGTACTCAGATGATAAGAGCAGGGTGTCTGGGCTAGGTGCGAGCCCACTCCCCTGCCCATCACACACAAGCCACCAAACTCCTGCTGGAATTCCAGGCAGGTGCCGATGGCCACGTTGCTGTCAGGCAGCATCCGCGCTCTGAATGGCACATGCTGTCAGTGTTGTCGGGTTCCCCGCAGCAGCCTCAGGCTGTGTGCCCCCTAAACTATGAAAACCTGAGGATGGAGAAGGCAGACACATAGGGCAGACCCTCTGATCACTCTCCTTATCGCCTGCCTCTGCCTCCTGCTCCGTGCAAATGATCCTGAGCCCCCTAGTTTTGTGGTGCATCCCTACATCCCCATGTCTCCTGGGAGCAGCTTGCTGCATTGGTGCCTTTCCTATGTGGGATTCGCAGCTTCCTGCGGTTGTACTGGCTCCTCAGCCTGCCAAAAGCTGCTCTGGGCTGCAGGACATGCAGAGCAGCACGCTGGTAATGGCAGCGTCTGCCTGAACTCGGCAGGAAAGTGTTGTTGGATGGTGTTGGATGTCAAGGAGGGAAGGAGGCTGGCTCTTGCAGCAGCGCCGGTATCCCAGAATGGGAGGGCCGAGAAGCAGTGAGCAACAGGGGGAGAAAGCATAAAGGAGGGAGTAAGTGAAAGGGGAAATCTCAGGCTGCTGGGGGAAGGTGTGTTTAGTACTTAGCTGGGTCTGAGGGGTTCTGCATAGCTGTGCATGGAGCCTTTCTCACCAACAGCAGCTCCTGTTGGTACCCTACTGTGGTTTTCTGCTGGGACCCGTGCAAGAAGCCCTCTTCTTGCTCATCAAAGCAACAAGGTTGTTTCCCCCCGCATCTCTGTGTGCTCAGAGGTAGGGCAGGGCATGCAGGGAGCTGCAGCACCCACTGTTGTGGTGAGCGGTTCATCAGCAAGGAGACCTGGCTCCGCACAGCTTTCCGAGGGAGAGGACGTGCTGCGGCGGAGGGGAATGTGGGAGGCAGGCTGGAATTATGCAAATGGAGGTTTTGGGGCAGGGCAGTGGGTTAATGTTCATGGCAAAGGGCTGCGAGATTGTGAATGCCCCCAAGTGGAAGGGACCGGAGTATTGCAGGACGCATCTGAGCCATGCTGAGGCCGGGGCAGATGCTGAGCATCCGGGCTGGGCTTGTCTCGATGCTCTCTTGCAGCCCTTGATGCATGTGCCAAGGGGACCCAACCCTACACAGATTTGCTTTGAGATGCTTCCCCGAGTGGGTGGCTGCAGCTGCACCCAGATCCATGGGATGGGGAAACACGCTCAGGTGGCCTCAGTGCATGGGTAAATGCTCATGGATCCTCTTGGCTCTGACGCCAAGAGACCCCCAAAGAAATCCATCATGTTGGGATGGATTGGACTGACTCCTGGGTACAGCTGCAGCCTCCAGGGTGTTCAAAGCTGCTGAGCTGAGTAGTGAGAGGCTGTGAGGAAGGTCCAGACCCCCCTTGGCTGTGGGAAGCAGAGTGGGATGTGGGAGCTGGGGTGGGTGGCACAGTGCTGACACAGCAGGCAGGTACCAGCATGGTGCTATTGCTCAATCTACAATATGATGTTGGAACTGCTTTCTGTCAAGGCAGGGTCCCTGGAGGCGAGCACGAAGTGGGGTGCCAGTGCAGGCAGTGCCAGTTGAGGCATGTGCAGAGTCAAGGCATCACGTACCAGCCCTGGGCTGCCGTGCTTTATGTGCTGTGACTGCTCCAAAGCCAGTTCCTCTTGGGGCATTTCCCATGCTGCAGGAGGGGAATCCTACCTAGAAAGCAGCAAACACGGCTCCTGTGCGTAACCCATGGCCACCTAGTGCGGATAGTGCGGGCAGGGCAGGAGAACGGGGACAGGATGTGGTGTTGTTTCCAGAGGAGCATCCACGTACTCTGGATTCTGGTGCATAGCCAGTGTCCAGGGACAAGGTAACCTTCATGTGAGCAAGGTGGGCTGGATGAATGCCGGGTGCATCCCAGAGCAATGCCATGGCGAGGGCACTGCAGCCTGTCCCAGGGCACACGTGTTCCTGCCTGATGCAGGCTTGCCCAGCCCTCTGCTTGCTGCCCCTTCTTCATATGCCTTTGGGAGTACCCTGTGCCCAGGCAAGTGACTCTGAGCATCACTCCTGAGCATCAGAAGTGCTGCAGAGATGAGTCACTGGTGATGGGAACAGCCCTCTGTGCTCCCTCCAGCAATGATGGGTGCCCCTGGGCACCCTCCATCCATTTTCCAGCCTGATTTTGCCATGGCAGCTGCAACCAGAGGCCCCCAGCATGCCTGGATCCTTGCTGAGAGCAGAGCAGGATCCTGCTGAGCTTGGGCTTGCATAGGACATCTGGGCCTGGGAAAGCGTGCCTCTTCCTTTCTCACCCCTGAGCTGGAATCTGCTCCTATTAATAGCAAGTGGCTGTCGATAGCTGCTGTCAGCAGCAGGGAAGGGCACCAGGGCAGCCCCTCTTTTGTCCTAGCCCACCAAGGGACAGAGAAGCACCTACTAAATGTTCCTCCATGTCCTTCACCCTTGAGGAGCTGATGAATATGGGTGTTATGCTGTCCCTTGCTGTTGGATGTGTGCACCTCTTTGGTCCAAGCCCGTCCCAACCTGGCACCCTCCATTCCTTCCCTTGTGGGCTGGTATGTGTCAGTAGCCTGTCTGCAATGACCAGCAAGGAGAAATCAGACGCAGAGCCCACAAATTACCTGTCCTGCCAGTCAGGGCAGGGGCATAATCCTTATGGGTCGTGTTTCCCTGCTTGGGGCAAGTCCAAACCCTGCAACCCTTTGCCTGGAGCTGGTTGCCTGAAGACGGGCTGGTGATAACCAAGGTGTTTGGTCATGGGCATGTGAGTAGCAGCTCTGGGGCACCTCTAAGGCCAGCTCCAGGGATGTGCTGGGAACCTGGGCTATGCTGGCATCTCTGGGGAAGAGATGGTGCAAGGGCTGGTGTGTGGAGTGCTATCATTCCCTCAAGACCTGCCCCACAGGGGCTTGCCTCCCTCTATATCGGGGGACACCCCCAGCCGTGGGAGGACACACCAGGGCACGTCCAGGGGAAGTTCAGGTTGGAGATAAGGCAGAAGCTCTTCCCTATGAGGGTGCTGAGGCGCTGGCACAGGGTGCCCAGAGAAGCTGTGGCTGCCCCATCCCTGGCCAGGTTGGACACAGGGGCTTGGAGCAAGGAAAAGCTCCTGGCATGGGCTTTTCCTAGGGAAAGAGTTTGAGCACAATAGGAACCTCACACAGTTCTGTGTGGGAATTGGGGTGGTCGGGTGAGTTGGGGCAGGGGGTTGTTGGGACAGGGTGCTCACTCTGGCCTGTTTTCTTGTGGCCTTCTGACCCCATGGTAGAGACACTCAGTGATGAGGAAGGCAAGGTTTTAGCGCTCATTTGGTTCCCCTGCTGCAAGCCCTAGTGGGAGGAGGGTGCCTGCACAATGCAATGCCCAAACTCCTCATAGTGTAGGAGATGCTTCCCCCCACACCTCCAGCGTTTCAGCATCACAGGAGTGCCATCAGGACAGGAACTTCCCTGGCTGCTCTTGCTTACAGAGCCTGAGCAGGGAAGCTGCAGACCTGCCCCATTAAGTGCTTTGTGCTGGGACAGTGTGAGTGAGTGAGGTGTTGGCTGTGCCGGGGTGGCTGCAGGAGCTGCTCAGTGACGACAGCCAGTATCTCTTATTTTTCCATTATAAGGATTGATAACAAAGCGTCAGGCCCTGGGGTTTTCCCTCTGACCGACATCCACGGGAGACCTGACCCTGCTTGGAGGAGGCAATGCCCTCTGGGAGCATCCTCCTTTCCTGGGCATGGCAGCAGGGGGACAGCAAAGGCACAGAGGGGAATTGAAGGCAGCGGGAGCCCAAAGACCTGCGGCGGGTCTGGGAATGCTGCCTGGTGGAGGCGTGTTTGCTGCCAACCTTTCCCTTCCATTCATGTGGGTTTTTCTCTTCTCTTTTTCTTTCCAGGTCTTGGCCACGCTCACTGGAGCTATGAAGGTAAATACCCTGCAGTTACTCTGCTTCTTCCCTACCACCCAGCACACCCTGGGCCTGAGCCAGCCCTGGTTAATGATTACAGGGCTCCTGTGCACACTCCGTGGCTCACCCTTCCCTCCTGCCTGACCCCATCACTTCACCAGTGCCCGAGCCTGGGCAGAGATGGACTGAGGAGCCAGGGGCTGCTCTGATTTGAGCAGGAAACAAGGGCTCTAACAAGGGTTTCCCCAGCCCCATGGGTGTGGGGGGATGCCCCTTGGGGCAGGGCTTCTCCCTGACCCTGTGCCACTGGAAGCAGGCTGCGTTCTCCAGGCTGGACTTGCAGCCTGAGCTGGGACTTTGACCTGCCCAGGGATTAGCTGTGCTCTCACCTCTTTCACCCTCGATCCCCATCACTCCTGGCCTTGCCTTCCCATCATGGCTTGGGGGCTTCTCCACAGCATCACTGCATTGGTAGCACTAACACATCCCTTCCCACAGCAGTGGCAGGACAGGTCCCTGCACCATTGCTCTGCCCAGGACCAGAGGCTGGCTTGGACCTGCTAATGCACAGCTCCATCTTCACAGGGTCCTGTGAGGGGCTGGCCTGAGGATAGGCTTGGTTTTGCACTGGCCCAAGGTGTGTTAGAAGCAGTCCCCTGCAATGCAAGGGGAGGTTTCTGGGGCACCAGGCATGCTTATCCTAGCAATGGCACGGAGGAGATGCGGCAAGTTAAGCAGCCACCCCAGCCACGTGAAGTGGCCCTTTGTGGGGCTGTACTGGTTGCAGTTAGCAGCCCATCAGACCTGTGGCTGTGGGCTCCTGTGATCCTAGCAGCACTGTGGTACATGGCTCAAGTAGCCTGATGGGTGATACCTGCCAGAGAGCAGGCTGTGCAAGGCAGGGAGCGTGTAAGGAGCTGCAGAGCAGCAGCCTCTGGCCTTGCCAAGTCCACTTGTAAATGATCTTCTCGCACTCTTCCCAAACACCCCAAAAATAGACTTTCCTGGCAGCTCACCACGCTCCGAGACCTTTCCTGATACAGCTGCATGCAGTCACATGGGGGCACAGAGCTGCTCCTGAGCTAACCTGATGGAAACTAACCTTACAACCATGGTTTACTCCCTGGCTGGTGCCTGTCCCCTTCCCCACCACCCTCTAAACCTCCTTCCTGGGTCTTTCCCCATTTGGTCTCATTCCTTCTATTTCTCCCCATACCAGACCGGAATCGCTGGGGTGAGGACTACCAGGACTGCAGGGGCACCATGCAGTCACCCATCAATATCAACATGGCCAGCACCATCTTCAGCCCCCATCTGCGGGCGATCCAGCTCTCTGGCTACAGCCTGCCTGCCAACGAGAGGCTCAAGCTGAGGAACAATGGGCACACTGGTGGGTGCAGAGGCACAGGCTGAGGCTGAAGCACAAGCACAGCCTCCTGGCAGGATCCTGATACCTTTCCTTGGGCTCTGGGCAGGGGATTCTCTTCCAGGCTGCAGTCAAGGTGACTTCAATGCCAAAAGGGAAGCATCGGGCTGTTGAGCCTTTACAGAGTCTATGTGCTTTCTTGGCTGGAGGGCCGAAACCAGGACATGGAGAATTCACCACTCACTGCCTTTGGGAGCTGGCTGCAGGAATTAGTTAAACCCCACATTTCCTTTAAAATCGTTCCCTGTTGTTTCTGATGCAGTTTTGCACATCAGTCCCTCCCCTGCATTTCCCTTTCAAAGAACTAGTCCCTGATGTGATTTAGCCTTACCTACTTACAGTCTTTCAGGACTTCTTTAAGCCTGTGCTTCAGGATGGCATCTCAAGGTCTTAAGAAATTCCTACAGGTCTTTTGTTTCCCTTCCCCAATTTTAGAATGTTTTGGGGAAGTCTGGACACACCTTATCAGCATTACTTTAGTATCGGTCTCACCATGCCACGTATGGATGAAAAAGCACATCTCCTTCGTGCTCACCACATATGGGGATGCCAGGTCCTGGTTGCTACCAGCTTTTTCTGGGAGCAAGCTGAGTGTTTTGTGCACGCTGGTGTGTGCCAGTCACTGAGCTCAGGAAAGGTGATGGGGAAAGGGAGTTGCTGTCGGTGCGATAAGGCACCTCCTTGCCCTGATAGCTAGTGAGATGGAGCTGACCTCTGTATACAGCAAACCCAACAGGTCAGACTCGCTGTACGCAGTCAGATCAGCCACACAGTGCATGCTCAGAGCTTTATATTATGGCCTCCTGCCCTGCAGAGTTAAACTAGTTTTGCTCAGTAGTTGCTATTTTAGACACCCTGGCATCTGATGTTGCTTGGTGTTTAGAAAAGCAGTCAGAGCATTTTCGTGGCCGGGTGGGGGAAGCAGTTTCTCACATGGCTATAAGAAGCCTGGTTTTTGTTCTGGCAGCTACCAGTCTGCTTGCTCTATGAAAAGCCATAAATAAATAAAACGTTGCAAGTCCAGTAAGATATTAGTACAGTCACTCCTTTTTTGCAATATAAAGTGTGTGCTGTATAAGCTTTCTCAAAGGCCTGAAAATGACTCAGGTAGGTGGTAGAAGGAATGCAGTGATTTAGATACACAATAGAAATGTGGAAGTAGATACACTCCTGGGGAGGGAGCAGTCTCCCACTTCCCGTATTTGAGTTTTGTATCTCTGAACCCAGTGGCAGGGAGCGCAGCACAGATGACTCAACACAGCTCTGTTACGTGGTTAATCCCAAATCTGCGCCCTAGCTCACTGAGCTGACGAAGGGACCCTTCACCTATAAAGACAGAGGAAGGAAAAGAGCTGATATTAAAAATGAGGGGGGAGAGGTGCTTAGAAGGATAGGTCAGCCTTTCTCAGTTCCTAGGGATGCTCCTGGTACTTTGCTGCGTGTGCTATTGGAGTTAACTCAGCTTTTAGATTTGCCACACTGCTGCACAAGTCCAAGAGAGCTGTCTAAACCGTATTAAAGTAAAATGCAAAACCAAGTATGTATTTATGACACTCACAGAGGCACAATTTTAGCTCTAAATGCTTTCAGGACATTTAATGCTTACGTGCCACCAGCTCCACTGCTGTCAGACACTCACAGGCTGCTTTATTTGAAAGGTCCCAGCTCGCCAAGTGCTGCAGCTCTCTCTGTCCAGCTGCCCTCATAGGTATTCAGCACTCTGCCAGTAGCTTTTTGTCCATGGTCTCTTTATATTCAAATACATTGCTGGATAGCTGCACTTGGAGCTGGCCCCTGGGAGCCTCTGCAGAGAGGTGCTTCACTTCCCACTGTTTTCATGGCAGCTATTTTTGAAGCTGATGCATTTACTGGGGTATTACCGTAAAAGTTGAAGGCTGCCCCACTGGCACATCTCTGGGCATTGACTTGCCCATAGCCTCACAAAAGGTGGAAAGCGAATCTGTTTGTTGTGCCCAATTTCCAGAAGGCCAGGATGATTCTTTCCCTTGAGACACCTTCTCTGCTTACCTGTGGGATGAACTGGGCTTTGTGTGGTGTTGACTGACCTATTGTGTTTCTGCAGTTGTTCTCGAGCTGCCGCAGTCCATGGCCATCACTGGTGGCTATGCCCAGCAGTACCGAGCTGTGCAGCTACACCTGCACTGGGGTGCAACAACAGGACCAGGCTCAGAGCACACCATCAACGGGCACCGCTTTGCTGCGGAGGTAAGGAACCCTCGTGCCAATGGATGCATCCTCTCCTCTCCTGCTTATGGGCAAGAAAGGTGCTGGAGTGCTGCATGCTCCTAGCACATGGCCTTGGTTGTCACTGGGTGACTGCTGTAACCCCAGCCGGGATCCCTGCTCCCTGGGCACCTCTGCAGCAGCAGAGCTCAGTGTAGGAGACCATGCGTTGGTGCTGAGCCAGACTTACTGCTGCAGCCTGTGGTCAGAGGTGAGGAGGAGACCACGCTCCAGGATGTTCTGGTGGTCTGGGGCTCCTGCCTGTGTCCATGCCCCCTTGCTGCAGCCTGGTCCTGGGCTGATGGAGCAGGAGCTGTGCTGGTCCCCAGAGAGGGGATAGAGCTCTGCGGGTGGCTGTGAGCAGCCTGCTTTGGGAGCTGCAGGGACTGTTTACTCTGTACACACTATCCTCTTGCTCTGCCAGCTCCCATCTGGTTTTATCCCTCCTTCTCTAGCTCCTGTCCTCAAACTGAGCCTGGCTCTGCAGTACAACCTCTGGTATCTGGGGCAGAGTGCTGGTTTGCTGTGCCTGACCAGAGCACAGCCTCACTCTTGCTGCTTTGCAGCAGCACATTATCTCAGTCCCAACAGCATATTCCCCTCCTAGGAGGGATGCTTGTCATGAATACATATTCCTTCCAGCCCTGGCTCCATCACGCTGAAGTCCTGTGGGGATGGGCACCTTGTGACAGTGCCCATTCTGCATTGTGTGTTCCCCTTCCAGATCCATGTGGTCCACTACAACACCAAGTATGACAGCTTTAAGGAGGCCATGGTCCAGCCAGATGGCCTGGCCGTACTGGGAGCCTTCCTGGAGGTGAGTCCCATAGACCAGCCAGGGGTGAAAAGTGGCAGGAGCAGGATGAGGATGGTACTGGGGTGGGCACAGTTTGGGGAACTGGTGCAAATGCTCCTGGGGAGGGGAGGAGAGAAAGGGCAATCCAGAGGGAAAAGCAACCCTGATAGGAGGAAGGTGTCACCAGGAGAGGGTGGCTTTTACAGGGAATGGTACCTCCCTGGTGGCACTGCCATCACCAGCACTGGCTGGTCTCCACGAAGCCCCTGTCTTTGTCATCACCGTGGGGTCTCTGTGTTGCAGATGGGTCCAAGAGACAACCCGTACTATCAGGAACTCCTTGACCATATGCAGCAAATCCAAAGAGAAGGTAAGGCCCTGTCCCACGTAGTTCTTGTCTCAGGGGCTGCAGCCCAGCAGGGAAACCTGCTGCACACAGAGAGGCTGCAGCAGGCATGTGCTGTATAGATGTGAGAAGGTGAGCACTGCACAGCTTGTACAGAAATAGCTCTCCAAGGTGCCCTCTGCTCGCATGAGCTTTCCCCTTCCTCCAGGACAATGCTGGCATTGATGGCAGCATTGTGGACCCAGGCACACGCGGTGCCAAGGTGCCCATGATCTCCATGCTCGTCCTGCCTGTTGTTCTCTGGGGCGTTGTGCTGGTGTCATTCCCACGGTGTTTATTCTCCCAGGTGAGGAAGTCTGGGTGCCTGGGTTCAACATCGCAAGCCTGCTGCCTGTCAACCTGAAATACTACTACCGCTACAACGGCTCCCTGACCACCCCTCCCTGCTACCAGGCGGTGAGGTGGACAGTCTTCAACCAGACTATGATGATCTCTCGTGACCAGGTCTGTCAGGGCGATGAGCCCATGCACCATCCATCCATGCATCCCACCCCAGTCCCCTGGCTCCCAAAGGCAGGATGCCTTTCTCACGCTGCTCTCCTTCCAGATTCTGAAGCTGATAACGAGCCTGAGGAACGATGATGGCAAACCTCTGCAGAGCAATTACCGGCAGATACAGAGCCTCCATGGGCGAACGGTGCTAGCGAGCTTCCAGCCCGCCTTCTTTGCACCAAAGCAGCTGCCTGCTGGTAAGGAGTGTGTTGAGTGTGCTCAGGGTGCAGGGATGCAGAGAGAGGGCAAGGAGCAGGAGTTCAGACATCCCGTCTCTTTAACCAGCATTTGCATGGGTTAGCCTTGCCCACTGATGTGGTCCTGCTGCAACCCTATTTCTGTGCTTCTTGCACCCTGCGCTGGGGAAGATCTAGGGAATATTTTATCCTTAGTCTTGCAGAAATAAGAATACCAGGACTAGGGATGTATGGCGGGGGGGCTGGAATTAGATGCTCTTCAGGTCCTTTCCAACCCTAACTATTCTATGATCCTATGGCCAAGCAGCTAGGTCCTAGCATCCCAGCTAGCTCCTTCATCCCCAAATACAGCAGGTAAACTGGGTAGGAGCTGCAGAACAGGCTTGCAGCAAGCCCCCTACCACCAACCCCTGTGGGAAGGGCAGTGCAGGGGACCTCTCCTGAAGGCTGTGCTCTGCCTGAGGCATCCCTGTCTGCCCATCCTGGGTTTGTCCTCAAAGGTCTTTCCTGCACTGGTAGTTATCAGCGACAAGCAGAAATTCCTGTTAGCCCTCAGGTGTGACTATCGCTCTGCATCGCTGAATTCTTGCCTGTTGCTGCTTTCTGAGGTCACCGGCTTTTTTTCTGTCCAACATCCTGTTCCTTCTCTGAACTGAGGGCATTTCCTACGCCTCGTGTCAAGGTGACTAATAGAATCAGCACACAGGCTTGGTCCCAGACCTGGGTAACCACACACCAAGTGCAAGGCACTTCCCTTCACCGTCCCACCTGCAGCCAGCTTGCTAATGGCTGCAGGCTTTTAATCACCATGGTCCTCAGCCTGGCTAGCAGTTCCCCATGTGGCACAGCATCAAATGCTTCGCTCAAGGCGGGACAGATAAAAATCTACCGCATTTTCTTTGTCTAGAATATCACTTATCAAAGAAGGATATCGGGTTAGGCTGGCATGCTCTATCTTTGGTAAACGTGCTGGATACTTTATCATGTTTTCCATTTACCTCCAAGCTTTTCTTCTACCACTTTCTTGCAGAAGCTGTTCCAAAGCCTCCAGACACTGAGGCTGGAGCAAGGGGGGAGCTGCCCTGCCCACTGTATTCTACCTCCCTTTCCTTATTTGCTATTTCTGTCCAACAACCTCCACTTTTAACAAAGCCTTTGCTCCTGAAACACCAGGACACTGCCCCAGCACTCCCGGATGAGATTACTGGTCCCTTGCCTTGTGTGCATAGCATTGTTGGGGTTTTCGCCCCACCTCGCAGTGCTGGTAACTGCCTGCTTTAGGCCTGGAGTCAGTGTACACCAAGCGGGAGTGCCACGGGGTCACGTCTGGCTTTGCTTGCCAGCACAAGTACCCACGCTTGTTGATCCTTCCCCAGTCACCCCCAGTTCAGCTCCTGCCCTGGCTGCTGGAAGAAGGCGGCAGCTTTCCCATAGCAGCCGCACAGCTGGGTAGTGCCGCTCTGCACGATACTCGACATAATGCAGCTGCTTAAAGCCATGCTTGTCATGGGGGGTAAATATCTGCCCTCTCAGCTCTCACACATGTGTAGGGACCATTGAGCCATCCTTATGTGGGTGCCCTGCCAGCAGTGGCTGCCTGCTTCCTCCTAAGGAGCTGCTCACCATCCCACTGCAGGCTGCTGCTCCTTTTGGGGTTTGGTGCAGTGGTGGGGTGCTGCAGTGCTCATCTTTCCAGGCCATAGGGGTGTTCATGGTTGGGCTCAGTGAAGCTTTTGTGTGGTCCTGGGATCCTTTTTGTACCCTCAATGCTCCTGGGTGGGGTTTCAGCTCACAGCATCTTGAGGGTTATGGGGAGTCTTCACAACCTGAAGGCTCTGACCCTCTCCTCTTGATCCTTCTGTCTCTCTTTCAGGTACTGCCAGCTCAGCTGCAACAGGTAAGTGAAGGGTTGCCACAAAAGAGGGGAGGGTGGCTGAGAGGGTCCCTGCCTGGGAAAGGGGGTCCTGATACCCATGTGCTGGGCTGGGGAGCTGGCTGCCATGGTGCATTGCAGGGCTGCCCTAGTATCCATGCAGCAGGCTCTCATCCTCTTGTCTTTGTCTCCTTTGCAGACGAACACTCCAGCTCTTCATTTCAAGCAGGTAAGCGTGCTCAGCTGAGGCTGATGCTTTTGTGTCCCCTCTGCCTTGGAGCACCAGCCCGGCCCTATCTCTCTTGACCAGTAGCCACTGGGGACCAGCCCAGTGTAACGTGCCTGTGCTTGGCTTGCAGGGGATGTGCTGGCTGTGCTCTTCGGGGTGCTCTTTGCCATCACGGCACTGGCCTTCCTGCTCTACATCCACAAGCATCGCAACCAGAACGTGCGGTGAGCAGTGGGGAGCTGCAGGAAGAGGGGGCCTAAGGGGGTAGCACTGATCGTGGGCATGAGTCAAGGGTGATCTATTGGGCAGCAGGATGGGTTAGCAGGGACCCCCTGCCCGCTCCAACACTCACCCCTCTTCTTACCCCATCCAGGCTGGACTCACCGATCAAATCCAAGGTCATCTACACGGCAGCCACCACTGAGAACACTGCATGAGCCCCACACCTCTGTGGTGGCCCCCGCTGCACTGGCTCATCCTGTCACCCCAACCTCTCCTCACTCCCACCCCAGAGGTGCTCCAGCACCCCTCGGCTGCTTGGGCTGCCCGTACGGACTGGTTTCCTGGGGCAGTATTTGGCCCCAGCAGATATTTTTGTTATAAAAAGCGTAAAAACCTATTAAAAAAAATTAATAGTAAAAAGCAAAACCTTCCCATGGTGCCAGGCCTCTGTGCTGCTGGGCAGGAAAGGGCACTGGTGGAGCTGGACCCACAGCGGAGATGGGCGCACATCCCGGCAGAGACAGCATCAGCCTCCATGCCCTGGGCAGAGCTCCAGAGCAAGCAGCGCAGGGCTCCTTGCACAGCCCAGCCCTGCCCTCCATCGCTCTGGGACTTCTTCCTCCTCTTATTTATGCAAAGCATTGGGAAAACAGTCAACGCTTGGGAGGGCTAAAGAAAGGCAGAAAATGTGGCAGAGCCACTGCTCCCTTGCTGGCCGGCCCTTACCCAGCTCATCTCTGGTTCTAGCCACCTTTACTGGTGGCTCCAATGCAAGCTGGAGCTAAGCCCCAGGGAGCAACACAGCCATGACAAAGCAGAGACAAACAGGCCTGAGAGCAGGGGTAGAACCTGCAGATCTCCAGATCCCAAAGTAATCAAGCTAGAACGCAGCCCATTAGGACAGACAGAGCAGGAGCAAGACCTCCAGCCAACTGGGATATACAACTGCCCGACCCCTCCACCCCCCAAGTCAGTCACACCAGCACAAGGCAATGTACCATTGCTGCACTGCTCCCCAGGAGGGCAGTGCTGCCAACCACACACACCACCACTTCTCTATGGTACTTGTTTTTATTGGTATAAAAGCCCACGGTGGATAAAACTGCCTTCTCAGCCCTGAGCCCAATGGCAGTTTCTCCCTCCCAGCCCTGTGGCACAGCATCAGGGCTGGTGCCTGCCTAAAAATCCCCATTGAAGTGCAGGAGAGGGCAACGATCCACCGAAATGGCTCCTTGAACCCCCTCCCTAAGCTGTGCCAGCCCCAGCTGCAGCATTGCATCACCTCCTGAGCCCTCCACCGCACCCCATGAACGCTGGGCCCTTTGGACACCATATGTTCCCATTCCTCCTCCCGTTCTCAGTGCTGTCAGTCCCCTCGGATCCCCAGGCACCGTCCTCCCTGCACCAGGATGCCAGCTCACTGCAGATACTGCGGTCCAGCGCCAGTGCGGTGGCTGCCAGGGCAGCGAGGCTGGTAAAAGAGGTGGAGAAAGCAGCACCGCAGGCATCAGCCCTGACCCAGAGCATGGCAGTGCTTTGCAAAGCCCCTTCCTCCACCCTGCAGCGAGGAGGTGATGCGGCCCCCTGAACCACAGGGGACAGCACATCTTCTGCAGCAGCGGGAGAAGTGATGGGTTTCTTTGGGCTCAGGCTTCCAGCGGTCCAAGGTAGCATCTTTCCCAGCAGGCTTACTGGGGCTCTGCCTGTGGCAGGGCCAGCAAAGATGGGTACCCCAAATCCGAGCTGTTCTCTGGGGGCTGCCAAAGCCACGCTGCTCAGCTGGCTGCCACAGCTGAGCCACAACTGGACCCCAGTGCCAACCCCACTGGAACTGGCTGGGGTCCCCCAGTCTGGGAGAAAAGGTATTGCAGAGAAGGTGACTGCTGCTCTTGCCACCAGGATGGAGGGGAGGGCAGGGGTGGCTGGGGACAGGAACATCCCACGGGGCCTCAGGATCCCAGCTGAGGGCTGGCTCCGCTCTGTAGACCTGCAGGAACCAAGAGGAGCGGGGCCCAGTTTTGACCACACTCCCTACCCCGTCCCATTCCCCCCAGGATAGGCAACAGCCCAACAACAGCCCCAAAACCCAGATTCTCCTCCAGAACGGCAGCCAAGGGGTGACAGTGGTAAATGCTCCAACCCTCACAGTGTTCAAGGCCAGGTTGGACAGTCTTGGGCAATACGGTCTAGAGCGTGAGGTGTCCCTGCCCATGGCAGAGGGATTGGAACTGGATGATCTTACAGTCTTTTTCAACACAAACCGTTCTATAATTCTATGACACCCTTGTTCCAGCCCCAGGGACACCCTCTCCCCATCCCAGCACCAGCCCTGGTACCCAGAAGGACCTGTAGGGTCTCCCACCCCCTTTATGGAGCAGGACTTACAGAGCAGGAAGCGCCTCAGGTTCTGGGCAGATCCCCCCGAGAGCATGTAAGCCCAGGCAGCAGCAGTGGCCATCACCAGGTAGGAGGGCACCAGGCTGCCCACATACAGGGGGTTGCAAAACGTCTGGGGAGAGAGGTAGGAGATGAGAGGGGTGAGCAGGCAGGAGAGAACAGCGACAGGATGGGTAATAACCACCTCAATGGGTGCAGTGGGACAGGGGTTACCAGCTCCAGGATACATAAACCCAACTGCTTCCCTAGTGCTGAAGGCTGTTCTACCCCCAGCACAGGGATCACCACACACCACACCAACCCCAAATATGGGTTCCAGTGCAGAGCTCTGCTCCCAGCTACTCACCGACCCCGAAACAGTGAGGTGCATGATGACAACCGCTGCAATCTCCCACCAGCGCCGATGCTCACAGCCGTGGAAAAAGATGATCCCCCAGAAGGTGTGAAGGAAAATCAGCACCATGGTCATAAAAGCTGCAGGGAGAAGGGTGTCACCAAAGAACCACTACTCTGAGCTGGCCTGCAGGCCATGGGTGCTGCTGGGCCGGAATGGGAGATGCTGAGGCGGACTCCAAACATGGGACGGATGGGGGAGAGGAGCAGAGAGGGTTACAGCAGACAGAAAGAAGGGTTTGGCACAGAGAGATGTGACAGGGTCTCAGATGGGTACAGGGTGCAGCATGGAGGGGATAGCATTAGGAGACTCCAGTCTTCCCACATCTGCTGCCTCTGTGGTGGGGCAGGGATGTGAAGGAAGGGTGCCTGTCACTCACCTGAGGTCAGGAAGTATAGCTGCGAGTCCCCGTGGATGCCCACTGTGCCGGGCCCTAATGAGTCTGCCAGGAGATTGATCATGGAGAAGGCGCCGCTCATGAGCCCAAAGCCCACGCCAGCCACTGCAGGACAGGGACACCATCAGGCCCTCAGCCTCTCAGGCCACCCATTGTGAGAAACCTCCCTTTCCCCCAGCACTATGTCCAGCCTGGCCTGAGATCACCCCTGCCCCTGCAGTCAGGACGCCAGCACTCACCGTATGCCATTTGCTGGATGGAAATGGGGGAGCAGCCATCCTCACTGAGAGCCACCAGCCCCTCAATGGCCTTCCTGTGGGATGAGAGCACGCTGGAGCACGGTGCACCACCAGGATGGAGCAGATGGGACCAGGGTCTCAATCTGTACCATTACCCCTCCTGGTAACCTCCCAGAGCTGCAGCACCCATCACAGAGCATCTATGTGACCACCCCGAACCACCCAACAAACCACACATGTAAAAACCATAGGAAGCCACATAGATTTTCCACACAGGAATGTGAGTGCCAGCCGGTGAACGGGACATGGGGTACAAAGCAAGCAGCACCCCCGTATGGACGGCAGTCCCAGTGCAGGGATGGGAGGAGCATGCCAGAAGGGTGTACCTGATACCCGGATTTGTACTCTTACAGGATATACGGAACAAAAAGGAGATGGCTCAGGAAGAGCTTAAAGAGCAGAAAATGCTTTGGGGAGGGAAACCGGGAGAGGTGAACTTCATAGTTTTTGTCAGCTAGAGATGAGGAGCACTCCGGGTGGCTCCTCAGCACAGGGAGTACAGCAGAGCTTGCACAGAGCCCCACAGGGCAAATGGAACGTGGTGTTTGTGTTAAAGGCTGCTCCACAGAGCTCTGCCATGCTTTGAATGCCTGCCTCCAACAGTCCTGCTGCAGGGAGCTGTGCAAGCCCCCATACCCAGTCCTGGCCTTCCCACAGCCCCTCACCATTGCCCAGCCAGCCAGGAAGGCTGAGAGGTATAAGGGGTGCCAGCCTCAGCATCGCCTCCCTTGTCTGCCTGCCCAGCTCCATCCAGGGTCCATCTGAACGCAGGTGCTCCCCCAACAACAGCATAAGCTCCAGAGCTGACAATGCAGGACAGGGTGTTCTCACCCCACAGCACCTGGTGGTGCCGAGGAGGCTGGGAGCTGCTGAGGCTGCACTGAGACTTTGCCCTGGGCTGGCCAGCGCATGGGGCTGGCAGTGATGTGCCACTACACAGAGCCCCAAAATCACCCTTGAGCTGTGCCTGTGCTCACACAAAACCATCCCTAAGAAACAAACAAGGCTTGCCAGGAAGCAAGGGCAGATCCCCAACCACTCTGTCCCCACATAGAAAGTGGGCACTTCCCAGTGCCTGGTGCCCTCTCTGGCATCCCCCAGATGCAGGAGCGCTACTGGTGCTACTCAACAGGGCAGCGGGGATGTGACACATCCTGCAGTTTCCCAAACCCACAGCCTCCTGTGCCAAAATCAGGGACACTCTATCAGCCACCTCAGCCCTGGATGCTCCAGACCTTAACACTGCTCTGCTTCACCACCGGAGACCCACTCATGCTCAACATGGGTACTACCTGCGTGCTCCCAACAGCGACCAAGGTGGCTTGGTGCCATGCTCAGCATCATCTCCAGCGCAGGAGCTCCCAGTCACAATCTGGCACTCAGCATGGCCACTGGGACCACTGGCAGCTCTGGAGCAGGGTGGGAGATGCCCTTACCTGAGGAGCTTGTAGTAGAGGAAGCGGAAGGCCTCCTGCAGCAGCACAGAGAACATCACCCCAAAGATCAAGAGACCCTTCTGCAATGGCTCATCCTGGGGGTTGCTGGCTTTGACCGCAATAAACCAGATGAGGGAGGAGAGCAGCAGCGACACCAGCCAGAAGAAAGCCCTGCAAGGGAGAGAGCTCCTGCTGGCACCAGTGCTGTTCTGGGACTCGTGCTGATACTGGTGCCATGCCCATCTAGGCCTGCACCCCTCTGTGCTGGTGCTGGCATTGGCAGCTTGCCCCAGCCGTGCACAGTCTCCTACCAGTATCAGCACCATCCTGGTTCCAGTCATGGACAGTTGGTGCCTATACTGGTACCACTGCTGTGCCCCCACTCCTCCTCCACTGGTAACCACTGCCCCCTTGTGCCCACACCAGTACCAGGTTCATATCCTCACCGGTTCCAGTTGCAGTACCATTTCCAGTTGCAGTACCATACTCTACTGATCCCACAGTGATACTGGTAACAGTGCCCCTGCTGCACACATGCACTAGTACCACTACCAGCGCAGTACTGGTACTAGCGCTCCCCTGATCCCATGCCATTAGTGATACCAGTGTCCTCCGCATCATGCCCACACGAGGCGGTGACCACAGTGGTACCAGTACAATACCGGTGCCCCTGTTGTGTAAAGAATGAGTACCAGTACTGGTGCCTGTCATGCCCACAATGGTACCAGTACAAGCATGGCTACTTGTGCTGCTGTCACACTCACAAGGGTATGAACACCAGTACTGGAGCTCCTATTGCAACTATGATCATCAGTAAGAGTACCAGTGGTCCTAATATGCCCATGACTGTTCCAGTAAGGGAAACAATAACTGTGCCCTTCTCATGCAAGCACCAGTATGAGTACGGGTACTGGTTCCCCTGTTGTTCCTCTGCCAGTACCAGTTAGGTCCCTGTCTCACCTAGTCTAATACATGCACTACATCATGTCCATACTGGTACCAGCACTGGCAATGGTACTGGTGACTAGCTCACACCTGTACCAGTTCTGGTACCAGCACTGATACCAGTACCCCCATCACACTCATAGCAGCATACCACTAACAGCATCAGCACTGGTATCAATGCCGCATCACACAAATACCAGCATCAGCACTGGTATCAGTGCCTCTATCACATCCATAGTGGAACCACTACTTATACCAGTTCCCCTGTCACATACATGCCAGCACCAGCACTCGTACCAGTTCCCCTGTCACATCCATACCCGGTATCAGCACTGGTACCAGTTCAACTGTCACATCCATACCCAGTACTAGCACTGGTAGCAGTGCCTCCATCACATCCATAACCGGCACCAGCACTGGTACCAGTGCCCCTGTCACATCCCTACCCAGTACCAGCACTGCTACCAGTGCCGCTGTCACATCCATATCCAGTACTAGCACTGCTACCACTTCCCCCGTCACATCCATACACGGTAACAGCATTGGTACCAACGCCCCTGTCACGTCCATACCTGGTACCAGCACTGGTACCAGTTTCTCTGTCACGTCCATACCCAACACCAGCAGTGGTACCAGTGCCCGTGTCATGTCCGTATCAGTACCAGCAATGGTACCAGTGCCTCTGTCACTTCCATACCCAGTACCAGCACTGGCACCAGAGCCCCTGTCATGTCCATACACGATACCAGCACTGGTGCCAGTTCCCCCCTCACACCCATACCTGGTACCAGCACTGGCACCAGTTCCCCTGTCACATCCATACCCAGTACCAGCACTGGCACCAGTGCCCCTGTCACATCCATACCTGGTACTAGCACTGCTACCAGTTCCCCTGTCACGTCCATACCCGGTACTAGCACTGGTACCAGTTCCCCTGTCACACCCATACCCAAAACCAGCACTGGTACCAGCTCCCCTCTCATGCCGATACCTGGTACTAGCACTGGCACCAGCACCCCTGTCACGTCCATACCCGGTACCAGCACTGGTATCAGTGCCGCTGTCACATCCATACCCAGTACTAGAACTGGTACCAGTTCCCCTGTCACGTCCATACCCAATACCAGCACTGGTACCAGTTCCCTTCTCACGCCCATACCTGGTACTAGCACTGGCACCAGTTCCCCTCTCACATCCATTCCCGGTACCAGCACTGGCACCAGTGCCTCTGTCACATCCACACCCGGTACCAGCACTGGCACCAGCACCCCTGTCATGTCCATACCTGGTATCAGCAGTGGTACCAGTGCCCCTGTCACATCCATATCAGTACCAGCACTGGCACCAGTACCCCTGTCACTTCCATACCCGGTACCAGCACTGGCACCAGTGCCTCTGTCACATCCATACCCGGTACCAGCACTGGCACCAGTGCCCCTGTCACATCCATACCTGGTACCAGCACTGGCACCAGTGCTCCTATCACATCCATACCTGGTACTAGCACTGGCACAAGTTCCCTTGTCACATCCATACCCGGTACCAGCACTGGCACCAATGCCCCTGTCAGATCCATACTTGGTACCAGCACTGTTACCAGCACTGGTACCAGCACCCCTGTCATGCCCATACCCAGTACCAGCAGTGGTACCAGTGCCCCTGTCACGTCCATACCCAGTACCAGCAGTGGTATCAGTGCCCCTGTCACATCCATACCCGGTACCAGCACCGGTACCAGCACTGGTACCAGCACCCCTGTCACCCCATACCCGGTACCAACAGTGGTACCAGTGCCCCTGTCACCCCCATACCCGGTACCAGCACTGGTACCAGTGCCCCTGTCACCCCCATACCCGGTACCAGCAGTGGTACCAGTGCCCCTGTCACCCCCATACCCGGTACCGGCACTGGTACCAGTGCCCCCGTCGCGTTCACACCAGCAGCAACACTGGTGCCATACCAGCACCAAGCAGCGGCGCCGCCACCCCACCCCCGGGGTGCCGCCGGTCCCGGACTGACCCGGCGATGAGGATGATGATGCGGAGCGGGTCGCGGGCGATGGTGAAGAGGAAGAGGCCGAGTGCGGGCCCGAAGGCGATGAAGGTGCACCCGAAGAACACGGCGAGCGTCATGGCGGCGGGCCCAGCACTCGGTACCGGGACGGGGCCCGGCGCTCGCTGCGGACCGGACCGGACCGGCCCCGCGGACCCTTCCCCTCTCCCGCCCTTCCGGGACAATGACGCCACGCGACGGCTGCGTGCGCCGGCGCGGACGGAAGCGGCGCGAATGGGCGGGGCCACAGCCGGGGTGGGCGGGGTTATGGGCGGGGTGGGCGGGGCTTGAAGCTGTGATGGCAACTGGGGGGGGCACTGGGGCCGCGGGTTGTCACAGGGGACCCGATCCTGTCATGCAGGGCATGGTTGCACCCAGCGTGATGCGCGGATTGACCCCACAACTCGTTAAAGGTGTAAAGTAGGTATGGTTTTATTCAGCGCTGAGACCCACGGGGGTAATTCCTCAAAGTCATGCGTGCCCCAGTGTTGTTTCCCTCTACATTTATAAGGTTGCTCCATACGCCTATACATATTCATGTCCTATCCCCGCTTCGTGTTACAATGAGCGAGAAGGTCCTTTGCGCCTCCGCAGTGCCCCCTCTGGTCACGGGCAGGGGTCTCAAGGTGAAGTAAATGAGTCTTCCTCCTGTGGGTAGGGGTCTTCAAGATGAAGTAAATGAGTCTTCCTCTTCTTGAACTTTTCTCCTTTTAGTCTTCATGTATGGCCTTAGGGTTTGGTCCCAGCCATAAACCATCTGCTTCTCCCCCTAAACAGTAGATTCAGGGGTCTGCTTTTCCTTATCAATAGCTGCTTATCAGTAAAATCAGGCGTCTGCTTTTCCTTGTCAATAGAACCCCTGTACAACCCCCCTGTACAACACCCCTGTACATTAGTCAACCCTCTGCATCAAGGGGAGCTTGGCCCTGGCATCTCACAGCACCCCTGTGTACCCACAGGACCTGGGCCAGCCCAGGGCCAGGCCTAGCTGTCCCCAGGGGTCCCTAGCTGTCTGTCACCCCACTGTAGGTGTGCCTCGCTGCAGAGGTGCTGCTCCCAAACTCCCTGCATCCCCCAAGGATGTGGAGAGGTGATCACACACTCCTATTGCACAGCCCGATGCGGGGTGCAGTAATGGGTGCTGATACGGAGTGTGTGTAACTCATAGAGCAATGAGAGTGCTGAACAGTCATGTCCATCACATTTCCTTCTTACAATCAGTAACGTAAATATGGAGACTGTGAGCTTTGTGTGGCGCTTGGCTTTGGGTGGCCTGACCTGTTCTGAAATCACTCAGATCCCTGTGAAACCCACGCAGGTTGGTAATGCGGCTCTTCACACCCTCACCCAAAGCCTCTGGCTGTGAATGCAGGGAGGGGTGGTGGTGGTGGGCTGTGTCTGGCTCCGCACAGCTCAACGTGTCTCTATGATACTCTTTGTGTGGTCCCTCCCCTCCAGCGCATAGTTCAGGGGTATTGAACAGGAAGGGGTTGGAGATGAGCTGAGGCACCAGAGGGATGAGAAAACTGGTGAAGAGAGCAGAGGTGAGAGGCTGCCAGAGGTTAATGCGATGGTTCATCAATGGGGTGGCAGCCCACACTAGGGCTGAAAGCTGTTCGGGGAGATCTTCCATGTGCCAGGCCAAGGTAAACAAATCCAAAGGTTGAAATTCAACAGAAGTGCAGGAGGAAAGAGGGAATGAGGAAGGAGGAGACGGGCACTGCAGTCCTCAGTGTGGGTCTGAGTGACACATGTGGGGAGAGGCGCATGCAGGTCAAGCTCCACTGACAGCAGCCTCACAGCTTCCCCTGCCCTGCGTCTCTGTGCAGGGCTGAAGTGGGAAGGAGATGGGTGGGAGCATGGATTAAATGCAAAGCTTTGCTGAACCATGAGAGATGGGCTTGTGCCTTTGGCATGGAGCATCACGGGGGAGCAGCTGGGGTCTCGCTGCCAAACCAAGTCCAGGGGAAACAAAACAAGCCCTTGGAGCAGAACATAAACGGTGAAGTTGAATGTTCTGGTCCAAACCAGGAGGCAGCAGTGGCTAATGGGGAAAACCACCGGGTGTGAAAGGGCTCTTTGTCCCAGCAGGAAGGCAAAGGGTGCCCAGAGGCTGTGCTCTGGGGCGCACCCTGATAGGAGCCTTGTTTGCAGTGTGGAGTACAGGCTCCAGTGGTTTACACTGGTGTTCCTTTCACAGCCAGACAAGTCCCTGCCTGGAAGCTGCTTTAACCAAGAAATGCAATGGCTCAGCTGACGTGCTATGGAAAACCAAGGCAGACCCAAGGAGGAGCTCCAGCCCTGCACTGTCCTTCCCTCACTCACAGCAGGCCTCACACCCTGTGAGGACAACCATAAAATGAGCATTCCATGCAACAGGAGCATGTAGAGGCAGGTTTCAGGGCCAGAAACCAGAGGTGCTGGTCCAGGGGGAGAGCAGGAGGCCGGCAGCACCTGGGCAGGAAAGAGATGCAATCTCAGCACCCTCCTTTCCTGAGCCAGAGGTGCAGCAATAAAGGAAAGCAGACAACAAAAGCTATCCCTGCCAGCCCCTCGCTGGGGTGATGGCCCTGCTCGGCAAGGGGTCAGCATGGACTGTGTTTCCTGGCAGCATGGAGTTGTGCTTTTAGAGGGATATCCGCCTGGTAGCATGGGACAACGGGGCTCAGCGCACACCATGGAGGGGCCTGAAGCAGAGGGCAGGACTAGATCCTGACTTTGGGCATCCCCAGGAAATCCAGCCTGGTTTGGTGTCAGCGATGAGACACATCCTGATGTTTTTCTCTTTGTGTTAAGGAAAATACAACCAGCCAGGAGGAAACTTCCTGAATGCTTTGGGAAGCGGTTGCGTTAGTATCTGCTGGTTTGTACAGCTGCCCCTCAGGCAGGCATTGGCAATAGAAAATGCAATTAGTAGGCAGGGTAAGCAGCTAACCCCAGACTTGCAGAAAGAAGACCCTCATAGCTAATGTGCATACATGGTCACACTTGTGTGTGTCCCTCAGTGGTGTCTGAGGATGAACATGAGCCACGAAGCAGACTCCATGGAGAGGTCAAAGACCATGTGGCTTCCCCAAGTGCCAGGCAGGTAACATGCTGGCTGTGGAAGGGGACACGCCAGTGACATATATCCATCACCGTGTGCTTGAAGTGGATGATGAATTTGACTGAGCTTTAGACGCGGAGGTTTTGTGTGCATCCCAAGGAAGTGATGGAGACAAGCGAATGCAGCCCAGCCCTGGTGTGTCATCACTCCCAGCCCTCCATACCCGCAGAGGACACTTTTATGCCAGCCATACCCTCCGTAGACTCCAGTTCCTGCAGAGCCTCCTTGCATAAACTGGGCAGGGAGACCCCCACCATGTCTCCCACTGCTTCTGCCTGAGCACAAGGACTAAACATACCCATTCTTCTTGTCAAACTGCTTTTATTTGGACATGAAGACAGGACAGTGCCAGTCAGGCTGTGCACAGACAAGATGCCCCCTAGCCACGGTGTAAGGCTGCAGGGCTTCCCTTCTCAATGGATGTGAGGATTTGGCCAAGACGCAGTACAGCTGATGACATCCTGAGCGTGCCAGTGGGGTGCACGTGTGGGGTAGGGAGGAGGGACAGGAGGGATCCCCAAAACAAATCAGAAGTTGTTAAGACAAGTCAGAGGTTGTTCAGCTCCAACAAGGTCTGGTCCAGGACCTGGTGGATGCCCACGTTCTCCTCTTTGGCACTGGCCAGACTCTCTGTGAATACAAGGGACAACCAGCCACACACACAGACACAAACCCAAGTGTACCCAGGAGCAGACAGACCCACGCACACCACACCAGGCACACACACACGCACACAGATGGACATGTCAGTACAGTGACAGCCTCTAGCCGAGCGGGGTGTCCCTGCGCGGCAGAGCCCACATGAACAGCCCCATCATCGGCAGGGATGAGCTCCAAGACCTGCCAGAGTGGTGAGGCCAGCCAGGCTGGTCACTGAAGGTGGTCCCCACTCTCCAGCATCTCCATCCTCCCATGGTGCCCTCTCACCCATGGCTGGGGCCTTTGCAGTGCAAGCGCTCTTGGTGGGTACCATTCCTTGGCCACTCACCAGCACATCCTGCCCCAGGGCATCACCACGAGGCAGGCTGTGAGCATGTGCACAAACCCTTGGCCAGCAAAAGAGGAGAGCCAGTGACCTGCTGCATGACCCAGGAGTGGTCCGTGAAGGAGAGAGACAGCAGTCTGGGCAGGCAGAAGGACAGCAGAGAGAGAAGGAGCAGAGATAACAAGGCAGCTGAGGCTTGGTGTTCTGTTCCAAATGGCATCCTCCTTCCCTCTAGAGACGTGGATGGGACAAAAGCTCTGCCCACCCAACTCCATCTCCCAACACTCCCTGCTGGGCTCTTTCCTTATCCCCTGCCCCAGGTTTGAGGCATCAGGCACTGTGGGTTCCAGCTCCTATCCCAGCACCCTGCAGGGACCCTGCTCTGAAGGCACCCTCCCTGCACAGGTGACCAGAGTGAGGAGGAAGAGGCTAGCTGCTGACTCCAGGGACAA